GGGGGGGGGGGGGAGAGAGAAAGAGAGAAACATCGATGGGCTGCCTCCAGACTGGGCATTGAACCCACAGCCGAGGTATGTGCCCTGGAAACCTTTTGGTGCACGGGACGGCGCTCAACCCACCGAGCCACGGCCAGCACGGTATTCTTGGTTATTTCTTTTTCCAAGTGAATTTAAGGGTCCCCCTTCCTCATACACACCACTCAGAGTTTGATTGGAATTGTTTTGAAATTCATACATTAGTTTTGGGGAGCATGGATAACAATTCTCAGCTTTTCATTGGGGAACATGATGGTTTCCCATTGATTTCAGTCTTCTTTTCAAGTTACTTACAATTCCCTACACTTCAAGCCCCGCTGCTCCTCCAGTGTCTCCTGCAGCTCTTTCCTGCCTCTGGGCCTTGGCCCACTGTTACCATGAGTCAGCCCCCTTGTCCCTCAGTGTCGCCTTCTCCCCAAACACATGCAGCCTTTGCTGACTATTCCAGCTGGTGGCTTTCCCCCACTCCGAGGCTCCCGCCGTCTCTCCCACCACCTGCTGTCCCTTTCCAAGGGGTCCCGTCTCCCCGGGAGCCCCCTCTTTCCTGGATGGCTAATGGGGAGCTGCTCTTTGCTGAGGATCCCCAGGCACCTGCTGGAGAGGGCCTCCCGGGGAGGTGGGAGGTGAGAGAGCTGGGCTTGTCCTCCCATCCCGGCCGTGTGAGGGTGGGGGGTCTGGAGCCCCCAAGGCTGCTTCTCCCAGCCCTCCCCAGGGGGTGCTGCAGATGATCGCTCCCTGGGCCAGGACAGTCGCCCGTTATTACCATTGCCTCCCGCCCCGCGCTTTGTGGTCTCTGAGGGCATCGAGAAGGAAGAGCCGTGGGCTCTCCCCAGTCCCCCCCCAGACGGTCTTCCCAGGCTGTGTCCCAGGCTGTGTCCCATGGGGCAATGGCGGGCCACCCTGGCTCTCAGTATGGGCGGCTACCCCAGCGGCCCCAGCTGCCCCGGGTGCGGGTGGGGAATGGCCCAGGTCGCCGTGGTGCAGAGCTGGGCAGCAGACGTGGCAGATGAAGTTTTATGGTTTTATCCTGGACTCGGCAGCCTTGGGAATTGCTACTTGTTCTCACCAAACGCGTGATATTTGCCCTCCGCTGGCAGCTCAGAGCCTGGCTCTCTCCACTGGGCGGAATGCTCGGGCCGCCGGCCAGCGGCACTTGGGAAACCCAAGTCCTCACCAGAAGGTAGCTCGGGGAGCGGGGACACGGCGGGGACCCACCCGGGGTCGGTAGGGACCGCAGGGCTCAGGTGCTCGGGCGTGCACTCTGTGTCCTGGCAGTCCGAGCACTCCTGTCCCACGTGTGCAGGGGTCCTCATCAGGGACCGCAGGGCTCAGGTGCTGGGGCGTGCACGCCGTGTCCCGGCAGTCCGAGCACTCCTGTCCCACCTGCATGTGCAGGGGTCCTCATCAGGGACCGCAGGGCTCAGGTACTCGGGTGTGCACACGGGGCCCTGGCAGTCCGAGCACTCCTGTCCCACGTGTGCAGGGGTCCTCATCAAGGACTGCAGGGCTCAGGTACTCGGGCGTGCACGCTGTGTCCTGGCAATCTGAGCACTCCTGTCCCACGTGTGCAGGGGTCCTCATCAGGGACCGCAGAGCTCAGGTACTCGGGCGTGCACGCTGTGTCCCGGCAGTCTGAGCACTCCTGTCCCACATGTGCAGGCTCCTCATCAGGGCCTGGAGGCGTTGCCCTTGGGCTCCCGCTTAGCTCCTGATAAGGGCGCCCCTAGGTGCTTTTTTCACTAGCTGGACGTGGCTGCCACGCCAACAGCCTGTTCCATTGGCTGCATTTCTGTGGCTGCTCCTGGTCACCGCGTCCCATTCATAAGCTGACCAGAGGGCCGGGGGCCGGTTTCTGGGGTGCGCCTGTGGAGGGCGGCCTGGATGCTGGGTGTGGACAGAGGAGCCTTTTCCTGGCCGTGTCCTTCGATTCTAAGGTTCACTGTGTTCCGGGGGCTGGCGGCCTCTGTGTCCTGCGGCCTCACCGTGTGACGAGTGTCGCAGCTGCTGTGGTGTCCCTAGGAGGAACCTTTTTCTGTTCTTTTCTAGCTACTCACGGAACCGCACCTTTGACACGTACATCGGGCAGGGCTACGTGATCGCCGGGATGGATGAAGGGTTACTGGGCGTCTGCATCGGAGAGAAGCGGAGGATCGTGGTGCCCCCTCACCTGGGCTACGGGGAGGAGGGGAGAGGTGAGTGCCCGCCGCCCCTCCGCGCCCCGCGCCTGGCTGCTTGCACCCGGTTCCAGGCACCCGGCCTTCTTGAGCGAAATGTTGAAACAGGTCCAGCTGGAGACTCGAAGGCCCAGAGAGCTTTCATTTCCAGAGATGCTGTTGTGTCCCTTGGTCCCCCTGCCCAATGTCCTGTCCTTTTGAACAATTGTAACCCTACACCAAAGCTGAAAGAACTGTACAGCGAACCCCCTTAGTTTCCCCAGTTGTAATATCTTGCTATATTTATTTTCTCTCTCTCTGTCTATGCATTAAGTTTTTGTTGTTGAGCCATTTGAAAGTAAATTGCAAACCCTCCTTTTTGCTTTTTAACAGCTTTATTTGAGGTATCATTTCTATGCCATACATTTCACCCATTTTAAAGATACAACCCAAAGACTTGTAGTAAATGTAGTGAGCTATACAACCATCACCCTAATCCAGTTTTAGAACAGTTTTGTCCCTCTAATCACAAACTCCTTTTTAAAAATGATACAAATAATACATGTTGACTTTAGAAAAAGAAAATACAGATAAAGAAAACAAAAATCTCCCCTAACCCCACCACCCAGGAGTAAACATTGCAGTGTGGTAAGCAGAAGAGCGGCCCCAAAAGATGTCAAAGCTGGGCCCCAGAACCTGTGAATATGTTACCTTTCATGGCAAAGGGGACTCTGTAGATGTGATTAAGGTAAAGATCTTGAGGTGGGAGATTATCCTGGGTCATCCAGGCAGCCTTGATGCACTTGTGAGAGTCTTTGTTAGAGGGCAGCAGGTCAGAGAGGAGNACTTGTGAGAGTCTTTGTTAGAGGGCAGCAGGTGGGAGAGGAAAAAATGCCGAGCTGCTGACCTAGAAGATGGAAGAAGGGGCCACAAGTCGTGGAATGAGGGTGACCGTGGGAAGCTGGCAAAGGCAAGGACATTAAGTCACCAAGTTTGTAGTAATTTGTTATAGCAGCAGTAGGAAACTAATACAGCCAGGAAGTGAATACTCTTCTGTACTTTTTTAAAAATTGAATTTATTGGGGTGACATTGGTTAATAAAATTATATAGGTTTCAGGTGTACAATTCTATGATACATCATCTGTGTATTGTATTGTGTGCTTACTGCCCCACGGTACTCTGTACTTTTGAGTATATGTGAATCTGTGTAGATAAAAGAAAACACATATCCACCTGTGCAAATACGGACAAAAATGGGATCATTTACATATATAACTTTGTCATTTCTCTTTCCACCTAATTTGTTGTGAAAATTCTCTGTGCCAACAGACATTTTTAACGGTTGCATAGTATTCCACGCCAATTTTCCTTTCTTAATTATGGTTTTTCTCCTATATAATTGTTTGCTAGTTGGCTTAGGAATAGCTGACTTGGTATTTATTTTGCTTTTGTTTTGACTAATGGGATTATGGCTGGCCTGGCAGGCTGTACATATTTATTATGTTTACCCTTTTCTGACTACTGCTGATGTGTCCTATGGGTCTTTGGAATTTTCCCAGTGGGGTATGTCCAGAGTACCTAAGAAACATCAGGTTGGCTGTACCTGGGGGAAACTTATTCTTTCTCTCCCTGACTTAAGTTTCTGATTTGTGAAGCCGTCACAGATCACAGCCTCGGACACACTGACCAGGCCTTCCTTCACTACAAACTGCTTTGTAGTTTGTATCATGTAAACTTCTACTTCTACCCAAATACATGCAGAAATAGAAAACTGCTTCCTCAGTATCTATGTTTGTGTAATTATGCCCTCAGAACTCGTCCTTCCTTTCTCTAAAAAAATACATTAATGGGAAACATTTGCTTAAATTGTTTTCCTCCTTTTGGCTTTCTGTCAACTATGAGACAGAGCTCTGCAGAGAATTATATAAGGTTCTGGGAAGCATCAGAAGGTCATAACTTTTCTGGGCATGAGGCTGCTGCATCCCGAGCCATGTGTTGCTGTGGGGGAGGGACACCCCGACTTGTAACACCCAGGTACTTTTGTGCGGGGTCCACCTCTGCCCCCTTCTGATTGGCACCTCGTGCTAATAATCCCTGAGGGACTGACCCCAGAAGGGTGTCAAAAATGGGATCATCTATATCTGTAACTCAGGACACAGGGGCAGGCGCATAGTAAACGTTCAGTAAATGTTTGTGGAAGGAACGAAATGCTGGGCTCTCCGTCCCTGGCATTGCATGTCTCGCAGCTATTTTCCCCACCAGGGTGCTGCACAGATTGAACGAGAGAATATCTGTGAACAAAACTTCTGTAAATGAAAACATTATTCAGAGGTAATGTTTGCAAAGTGGAGAGAGCGGAAGAGAAAACTGTTAATGATTTTGTGCAGAACAAACAAATAGGCTGTGTTGCGAAGGCATGTTGGGGAGTCGGGTGTGCTATGTCGTAAGGGGGGGCTATGGGCAGTTTGGGCTGCAGGGTTTTCCCCGTGAACTTTCTCTTGGTTTTCTTTCTCTTGCACAGTAACTGTCACTCTACAGCTGATTTTCTCATCTTGCCTCTTGCTTCTGGGAGGGGTGGGGCGAGTCCTAATGTGGCTGAGCCTTAGTCTCCAGAAACCTTTCAGGCTCCACGATTCCGTGGGGCAGGAGCTCATCATCTGGAACTGTAGTCCAAACTGTGCTCCCAACTGGCTGTGTGACCCTGGGCAAATCTGTGCCTCGGTTTCCCCATTTATAAAGTGAGGGTCAGGTTCCCTCCAAGGGCCCTCCAGCCTCACTCCTCCGGTGTGCTCTAGGATTTCATCCCGAGTCCCCGTGCTCCTCTCTGGATGCCTGTGGTGATGTGGGGAGCACGTGTCCTGCCCCTTCCTTCATTTCCCGTGTCTGTCCTTTAGGGAATATCCCTGGCTCGGCTGTGCTGGTGTTTGACATCCACGTGATCGACTTCCACAACCCTTCAGACTCCATCAGCATCACGTCGCACTACAAGCCCCCCGACTGCTCAGTGCTGAGTAAGAAGGGCGATTACCTCAAGTATCACTACAACGCCTCGCTTCTGGATGGGACCCTGCTGGATTCCACGTGAGGGCCCGGGAGTGGGAGAGGCGGGGGTGGGGGGTGAGCCTGGAGGGTTCTCCATCTGATGCTGGCTGAGAACTGGCATCTCCGTGGCGCCTCCCTGCTTAGCTCAGGCCTACATCCCTGCTCAGATGCGTCCTTCTGAGCGTTCCCTGTGAATGGTCTCCCCCTGCTCCTGTGACATGGTCTTGCTGAAAAACGGATCTCATCTTGTAACCGCTGTCTTTAAAAATTAACCCACAGGTGAAATCCCAGCTCCGGGGTCTGGCACGTCAGGCTTCTGTCCGCTCCGTCTGCCTCACCAGCTTCGTCTTCTGCTGGGGCCCGGGTGCCCTGGGCAGTGGGGTCGGGTGCACACTGTGTGTCCTTTCCTTCTGGTCATCTTCTGCCCTGGCTTTGGTCACCTCCCTAGTCTCAAAATCTGCTCTCAATTCTTAGGAAGAATCAACTGCTCCCACTTCTGGAGTCTTATAACATGTTACGCGTTCCCTACCTTTTATTTTTGTTTGTCTCAGCTGCTGATCGGAATACCTCAGGGACACCTGGGATGTTGATTCATATTTTTATCCCTATGTGTAGCCTGGAGCACAGCTCGAAGGGTGTTCTGTAAATATAAGTTGATTGAGATGATCCTGGAAGCATATTAAAGGAATCAGTAGTATAAACCAGTGTCAGGGAGGCCAAAGGAGCTTTGCTTCTGATACATCCCAATCTTCAGATGCATCTGTGAGTTAATATAATATTCTCTTTTTTGGGAAAGAGACACTTTAGGCCTCTCTGTATATATACAGGTACATCCATTTTTGTGCTGAGCCTGCCTTAGATTCCTGTTTGCTGTTGGGGAGAAGGAAGGGCTTCATATAAATAGTATGTGCTGCACCTGTTCGGGGTAAAGAGGGTCTTCTGTCCCTCCCATCAGTCCCTCTGCCTGCTGGCTTCAGGTGACAGTGTGGCTGGGGGGAGCCAGGCCTGCAGAGAGAGCCCTAGGGACAGACTGTCCCGACCATTCTCTTTGCTGCTATGAGATCCTGTGTCCTGTTACCGTATTTGATCTCATCCAAAATGTATTGATTATTAGAAGCATCATTTGATGAATCTCTAAGGAAGTAAAGGTTCTTCCCAAAAAGAATGACATGCTGTCCGTTGAAACGTGTATCCCAGTTACAGAGATGATAAAACGTGAGAAAGTGAGCGTCATGGTCAGTGACAGGACTAGCGTCTGGGTGGGACTGGCAGGGACCGACTTGAAGCAAACCTTGCATGACGTTAGGTGCCTGCGAGGGCAGCCGGGGAGGAAGTCGCTTGTGTGGTTGGGGACGCAGCGAGGTCGCGCCTGAGAGCGTGGCCCACGAGGCGGAGCAGTCCACAGGGTCAGTGTCGCGCTCCCATCGCTCTTGCTGGTGTTTGAGTTTTTGTCTGGTGCCCCACGGCCATGAAAAGGTGACGCGGGGGTGGGAAATGAGCAGAGGGACTCCACCCCAGTGGGCTCAGGATGAGCTGCTCGCGCGGGGTGGGAGAATCAGCCTTCCCACCTTCTGGTGTGTGTGGTGGGTCCACAGCCTCCTGCCAGAGCAGCTGGGAGCCACGTGACGCTCCTTCCTCTTATCAGGCTCCATTCTGCACCACGGGGCCGTTTGTGTTACGGGTGAATCCACACGGAAGAGTCCTGGCGGGACTCTCGGGGTGTACGTTTCAGAATAGTGGGGTGACGGAAAGTGTGGCGGGCGTCTGCTCACCTGTGTGTGGCAAAGGAGCCCCTTCTGGAAGGTGGGGCCTGGTCCCGCCCCAGCCCTGGGAGGACC